AGGATTTAGGGAAAGGATACTCTTCTCTGACTGAGTGTCCACCAGGACAGACATGCCAGAGTGTTGGCTCATGTCTTTGCTTGGGATTTCTTCCAGCCATGCAGCTTGACCTGTGTTAAGGCAGTGGGCAAGGGGAGGGTCTGGAGGGAGACAGTGGCCTTGAACACGGGTGGTTTCCTTGCTGAGATACTTACCGGTGAGGGAAGTGCAGCTGTTCTTTCTTTTTCACCACAGGGCCACACTGACTCATGAAAGCAAGGAGCCAGAGGCCATTATTCATTCATTCCCACCATACCCTCCCGTGTTCCTCTGTGCACATTGCACATGTGTTCCCAAAGTGCTCATGCTGCAAGGCTCTGCCTGGATGCACAGGCCCCCCACGTGGAGCCAAGAAGTCCTTGTCATTTGTTGTCTTTGTCACGGTCACCTGATGGCATTGCTGGCTATACTGAGTGGCTCCAGATGTCCTACAATTTTCCCAGCCTGCCTCGCTGGGCTGTTTCATGGTGAGCAGGAGGGGATGCAGAGGGCACAGCCCCATGGGTCAGCTCCCCGCACAGTAGGGCCACACAGGTCACGTGGGGTGTGGGTGGCCTGGCCAGGGAGGAATCTGCATACCTTCATGCACTCCTGTGCCCCTCGGTACAGCATGTAAGGGTACAGCTGAGGTGATGGCCCCTTGCTAATGGGTTCAGGAGGCGCCCAGGATTAACCCTGAGCCTTCTGGTCAAGTGATGGCAACCATAAACTCTGCAGTCAGGTGTTTTGGGAAGGCAAGCTTCTGTCCGTATGTGTGTATTTGTGTACTCACGTGTGCCTATATATAAAAAACTGCTTACTTACTTACTCACATACTTAAGTGTCTTTTGCAGGGCTGGACAAGTGGCGACAAATTATTTCAATTTCTGTTTACTATGAAAGGTCTTTATTTCACCTTCATTCACAAATGAGAGCTTGGCAGGATATAATATTCTGGGCTGGCAGTTTTTCTCTCTTAGTTCCTGGGCTCAATCTTGCCATTCCCTCCTAGCATGTAGGGTTTCTGATGAGAAGTCTGCTCTTAGTCTAATTGGAGATCCTCTGAGAGTAATCTCAGAGTTTCTCTCTTGCACATTTTAGGATCTTTTCTTTATGTTTCACTGTGGTAAGTTTAATTACCACGTGTCGTGGTGAGGATCTCTTTTGGTCATGTTTATTGGGGGTTCTATGAGCTTCCTGTACTAGGATGTCTCTGTCCTTCTCCAAACCTGGAAAGTTCTCTGCTAGTATCTCACTAAAAAGGCCTTCTAATCCTTTCTCTCTCTGCATGCCTTCAGGAACTCCTAGAACCCGAATGTTGGATTTTTAAATAGTATCCTGTAGATTCCCAACAATATTTTTTAGATTTCTAATTTCCTCTTCTTTTCTTTGGTTTGACTGTATATTTTCCTGTGCTCTGTCTTCTAAGTCTGATATTCTCCCTTCTGCTTCACTGATTCTGTTTTTAAGGCTCTCTAATGTGTTTGTCATTTGATCTGTTGAGTTCTTCATTTCATTTAGATTTCTCTTCACTATCACACTTTCCTGTTATACTAGTTTCTTCATTTCATTTTGATTCCTCCTTAAGATTATATTTTCTTTTTCTTTTATTTTATTTTATTATTTTTTTTGACAGGCAGAGTGGACAGTGAGAGAGAGAGCCAGAGAGAAAGGTCTTCCTTTTGCCATTGGTTCACCCTCCAGTGGCCACCGCGGCTGGCGCGCTGCAGCCGGCATACCGTGCTGGTCCAAAGCCAGGAGCCAGGTGCTTCTCCTGGTCTCCCTTGTGGGTGCAGGGCCCAAGGACCTGGGCCATTCTCCACTGCACTCCCTGGCCACAGCAGAGAGCTGGCCTGGAAGAGGGGCAACCGGGACAGAATCCGGTGCTCTGACTGGGACTAGAATCCGGTGTGCTGGCACCACAGGTGGAGGATTAGCTTATGGAGCCATGGCGCCGGCCATAAGATTTCATTTTCACGAGAGAGATTTTCTATCCTGGCCAGTAAGGATTTCTGTAGTTCAAGAATTTGTTTTTGAGAACTTCTAAATGTTCCTATACATTTTTTGAAATCCATATCTTGCACTTCTTCTATCTCATCATCTTCATTATCTTGAATTGGGGTGTCTTGTTCATTTGGCATCATAATATCTTCCTTGTTCTTGTTTCCTCGGTTTCTACATTTGTTGCTTGGCATTGTGGAGATATTCTTTGGTTTCTTCTTTTTTTTTTTCCTTCACTGTGGTGGTTTTTCTCATTATTCTGTGACTCTAGACTAAGTGGACTGTTTTTGATGGATCCTAGAGGCTTGTGAGGGGTGTGGCCAGAGAGCTGTGTTAGGTTCTTCAGGGTTAAAGGTGTGCCAAAGGTGACACACCCAGGTTAGGTGTGGTAAATATTCTCTCTGTCTCGTTCTCTTTTTATTCAGAAGGGAAATAATTCTGCACAGCTGAGCAGAATTGAAGGTAGTCAGTGTCTGAGCTCTGGCCCCTGTGGGTATAATATGCATCTTCTCTGTCCCAAGGACCACACTAAGGATCTGTGCAGCCCTCAGCATAAGCTCAAATTCTCCTGCAGTCTCCCACCGGGTTGCCAAGGTTACCGAGTTTGTGTACTCTCCCGAGAGTACTCACATCTTGGGTACTCAGTGAGTTCTCTCACACAATTTCAGTTTTGTTTTTTTTTTTTTCACAGTCTCAGTTTCTTAGCTCCACACATTCACTCGGTCCTAACCTCCTGTTACTTCTGCCCACCAGAGTCAGGTTTTTCTGCTTGGCTGATGGCGGATGCAGCTTTTATGTATGTCCACAATGGTGCCTGTTCTTTGTCTTGCCCGCCTTTGTAAGGTGAGTGGAAAGAGAGAATCATGTCTGTACTGGTCCTATTTATTTATTTATTTATTTATTTATTTATTTATTTTTTCTCTCCTCTAGTTAGGCTGGTGAACTTCCCCCATGGGGCTTTAAGCCTCGTTCCCTTTAGGCTCTTCCTGCCGTTTTCCTGCCAGTGTCTCGGGCTACTGCATTTCCAGCGCTGTTGAGTAGCCTTGGCGACTGGGGTTCCGAGCCGTGGGCACCCGTGCCCTCCACATAGGTCCACCGTGTACCCCTAGTTCTGGAAGAGTTTCCTCTGCAGTTTTTTCCATAACTCTTCCCTGAAACTACAGTATCTCCACTTTTATTAAACTATCTTTTCCTGGACTATCAGTGTGTTCCCTCCCTATTCCACCATCTTAGAAGATTCCTCGGAATACATTTTTAAGAATACAGTATGTAACTGTTTTTTGTACATGACAAAGTCCTTAATTTTAGAAATTCACAACTGTCTAAATATCCAAAGAATCCCACAATCTGGTATAAATATGAAACATTTTCTTCTATTATAAAAAAATTAAAATTAACCCATATTCTAACATTGAGAAATGAGATAAAAAGTACAAACATTATAAAGTGCATGTAGAAAATACCAAGTGACCTCAGATGCTACCTTTCTGTATTTTATCTTGCTTTGTGGAAGATATGATTTTTCCCATTTCAAACATGATCCATACATTAAATGCAAGGCTAGACTGTGGAGGGCAGAGACTGGGAAGCAGACCTGTGTTCAGTGGAGAACTTTGTAGATCACAGGTGTTTCAAGTCCTTGTGCGAGTGTCTTAATAAATAAATTACAAAGATTGCCTCATGCGAAAGACAGAGATAACACCACACAGAATGTTTATAAGGAAGAAGAGAACGAATGAGTACTGGAATCTTTTCTAAGACAGATTTAAACTCTTTTTCAAATTCTGTGTTAATAGGGTATGTAATGCATATAATATCAAATTCTACATAAACTCTAGTAGTTGGTCTTGATGTAGTAGTTTATTTACAGCTATGTCTTCCTTCTTTAATTTTTTTTACTGTTTTTAAAGATCCTATTTATTTATTTGACATTGAGAGTTACATGCAGAGAGGATGAGAGGCAGAGAGAGAGAGAAATAGGGAGATCGAGGGGGAGAGAATGAGGGGGAGGTCTTCCATGTGCTGGTCCACTACCCAGTTGGCTGCAAAGGGTGGAGCTGAGTGGATCTGAAGCCAGGAGCCAGGAGCCTCACCGGGGTCTCCTCTTGTGTGCAGAGGTACAAGGACTTGGGGCATCCTCTACTGCCTTCCCAGTCCACAGCAGAGAGCTGTGTCGGAACTGCAGCAGCCGGAATATGAACCAGCACCCATATGGGATGCAGGCACTGGGGGTGGTGGCTTTACCCACACCTCAAAGTGCCGATCCTCCCGGAAGCCATTCCCCTGGGATCCAGCTGTCTGCTAACACGCCTGGGAAAACAGAGGGAGACAGCCCAAGGACTTAGGCCCCTGAACACAGAATGGAGCACCGGATAAAGTCCCTGGCTTCTGCTTCTGCCTGTTGCAGTCCTGGCCTTTGCAGCCACCTGGGGTGTGAACCCCCAGATGGATGATCACTCAGAGCAAGAGTGTGTGCTGGCAATGCTGCTTGTACTGCTGCTCTCTCCCAAAAGGTGACAAGGGCCAACACTGGGCCAGACAGAAGCCAGGAGGCAGGAGCTCCATTCAGGACTTCCACAAGGCACAGATACAGGGTCCAGGGTACCTGGGCCATCAGTGGCTGCCTCCCTGGGTCACAACCTGGAACAGGAGAGGCAAACTGGAAGTGGCCCTGCATGCAGCAGTGCAGAGAAGTGTCCTGTGGAATCATTAAAATAGCCCATGGGGACTGCACTTTCACCCTGCCCTGTGACCTGGAAGTGCACCCGCTTGTGCGGCCCTGAATGCTCCACAGTGCTCAAGTGGGAGTCAGTGCCGCGTCCGCTCCTGCCCGAGAGGCTGCACAAGTTGTGAGGAGCCATCCCCGATGCTGCTGGCCAAGCCTGAGGGAAACCCAGCAGCTCCAGGGTCAGGTCGGGATCAGGAAAGGCTGTGGGTTCTAGACAGTCATGCCATTTCCCAGACTCATTTTTCTTCTTCAGACCCTTCTGGAAGCAATGGCCTTCGCGGGCCTCTGTCCCGCCAGCAGACCAAGCCTGCTTGAAGGTGAGTGATGCACGGCTTTTGCAGTTTCACGCTGGTGGTCTTGGGTGCTGGCGTGCCCGTTGCTCTTGGGTCCCGAAGGCGTGGGTAGAGTCGGGGTCATGCTATGCGACGGTATGGAACTTTCCCCAGTGTGTGAGCAGCTGTGCAAGAGCAGAGGTGGCTCAGTCTCCTCCCAGAACGGCCTCACGTTCCTGTCTGTTTGCTTTTTGATGGCCCAGCCGCCCTGCTCTAGACCTCTGAGCGTGTTCTGAGGAGGAATGAGAGCGAAAATGCTTGTCTGTGTCCTGGTCTAGGAGGAAAGTTTTGGGTTATTCTCATTAGGTGAGATGTTAGTGCTCTGTGGGTTTTTCATGAAAGAGCATTGTCAGGCCGAGGTGTACCTTCCATTCCTAATTTGATGTTTTTTTTTTTTTAATATTGCAAAAGTAATGGAAGTTTTTGTGAAATAGTTTTTCTGAGTCTATAGGGATAATGTGTGGTCTTTTCTCTTGTTGATTCTGTTCTGGGATATATTGATTTTGTATGGTAGCCATCCTTGAATTCCTGGAGTAACTGTCAGTTGCGCACCGTGAGCTAAGCTTTGCTTGTTTTTCTGGATCGCATTTGGTAATTTGTTCAGGATTGTGACAGATTCATGATAGATATTTATATGCTACATTTTTTTTTATGATGTGTTTGTTTTCGATGTTGGGATAATTCTGTTCTGGTGGAATAAAATGGGATGTTTTCCCTCTTAATCTCCTTTTGGAAGGATTTGCGAATCACGGATTTTAATTACCCTTTAAATGGGAGTTCTCACTGGTGAAGCCTTGTGGTCCTGGAATTTTCTTCATTTTTTGTGTTTGTTTTTTGGTTTCCCTGCCAATACAGTCTCATTTCATGTTAAAAGTATATTCAGGCCAGCGCCGCGGCTCAATACACTAATCCTCCACCTTGCGATGCCAGCACGCTGGGTTCTAGTCCCAATCAGGGCGCCGGATTCTGTCCCGGTTGCCCCTCTTCCAGGCCAGCTCTCTGCTGTGGCCCGGGAGTACAGTGAAGGATGGCCCAAGTGCTTGGACCCTGCACCCCATGGGAGACCAGGAGAAGCACCTGGCTCCTGCCTTCGGTTCAGCGTGGTGTGCTGGCCACAGCGCGCCAGCTGCAGTGGCCATTGGAGGGTGAACCAGTGGCAAAAGGAAGACCTTTCTCTCTGTCTGTCTCTCTCACTGTCCACTCTGCCTGTCAAAACAATTTTAAAAAAGTTGATTCAGAGTTTCTAGTTTGACTGCAATCATTTTAGTGGTTTGTTTCTTTCTGAGAATCAATCCATTGTATCTACATTGACCAAATTCTTGTGCCTTGGTTTTCCCATAGTGTTTTTTGATGATTATTTTAGTAAGGTTGTTAGTAATGTCCTCTCTGTCATTTCTCTTGTTATGTCACTTGAGTCTGTTCTCTTTTTTCCTTGTTTCATGTGGATAAATGTATTGTCAATTTCGTTGAGGTTTCAAAAATTGTATTTTGGTCTCACTGAATTTTTGTTGTGATATTCTCTATGCCGTTGGCTTCATTTCCATTTGAATCTTTTTCCTCCTTCTGGTTTCTTAAGATTTACTTTGCTGTTCTAGTGTTTTAAGGTAAAATTGGGTTTATTGATCCGATGTTTTTATTCCTTAATATATACCTGTAGAGCAATACAATTTTTCCTGTGAAATTATTCCTGTCAACATGGAAAACTGTATGGATGTACCCACTACTGGGAGCATGTTGAAGGAAATGAAATCATTTTGTAGACAGAGAGGTTTTCACAGGCCTATGCTTATTCCAGTAGAATGCACAATAGCCAGGCTATGCAGTCTATGTATGTATGTATGTATGTATGTATGGTGTACATAGCCCATAATGTCTTTATTCAGTCTTGAGGTGATCAGCATTTTGGCTGATTGCATATCTTTGACATTGTGCATTGATTTATGGGGGCAGAGATAACTCTTTGTTCGTATGTTGCTTTCATTTCCCTTGGGTATATTCACAGGGGTGGAATGGCTGGCTCCTATGGTACGTCTATATTCAGATTTTGACTTTTCTCCCTACTGTCTTCCACAGTGGCGATACCAGTTTACATTCCCACCAGCTGTGGATGCGGGTGCCTTTTCCCTCCATATCCTCAAGGCCATTGTAGTATTGATTTGCATTTCCCTGATGGCTAGTGATCCTGAGCATTTCTGCATGTGTTTGTTGGCCATTTAGATTTCCTTTCTTGAAATATTTAGCCTGTTGAAGTCCCTTGCCCATTTCTTGAGTGGGTGGTTTGTTTTGCTGTTGTTGAGTTTCTTGAAAGTTTCTGGTAGTTTATCCTTTATCAGTTGCATACTTTGCAGATAATTTCTCCCATTCCGTTAGTTGCCTCTTTAGTCTTGCAGGGCAGAAGCTTCTCAATTTGTTTTTTTTGTTTTTTTTGTGTTTTTTTTTTGGTGTCCTCTTCTATCCCTTTCTTTAATCTGTTGTGATCCTCAGATATTGAACATCCTTGGTTAAATTGATTCCAAGCAATTTTATTTTCTTTGTAGCTATGTGAATGGGATTGGTCTTTGAAGTCCTTTCTCAGCCATGACATTGTTTGTGTATACAAATAGGCTGCTAATATTCTATCCTGCCACTTTACCACATTCTACTCTGAGTTTCAATAGTCTCTTAGTGGAGTCTTTTGGATCTCCTATATATAGAATCATGTCATCTGCAGATAGGGATAGTTGGACTTAACTCCCTTCCAATTTGTATCTACAATTGAGAAATGAGAGAAGAAGTACCAACATGATCACGTGCACGTAGAAAATGGCAACAGTGACCTCGGATGGTACCTTTCTGTATTCTGTCTTGCTTTGTGGGACACGTGATTTGTCCCATTTCAAACATGATCCATACGTTAAATTCAGGTCAAGAATGTAGAGGGCGGGGACTGGGAAGCAGAGCTGTGTTCTGTGAAGAACTCCAGATCACAGGTGTTTCAAGTCCTTGTGCGAGTAGGTACATAAATTTCTGAAGAAGTAAATTACAAAGATTTCCTCATGCGTAAGTCAGAGATAATACCACACAGTATGTTTTAAGGAAGAAGAGAATGAATGGGTACCATCATCTTTTCTAAGATTGATTTAAATTCTTTTTCAAATTCTTTGTTAATTGGGTATGCAATGCATATAGTATCACATTCTAAATAAACTATAGTAGTTGGCCTTTTTGTAGTATTTTATTTACAGCTATGTCTTCCTTTTTTAATTTTTTACTTTTCTGTAAACATTTATTTGAAATTCAGACATATACACAGAGAGGATGAGAGGCAGAGAGAGAGACAGACAGACAGAGAGATAGATAGATAGGTTTTCCATCTGCTGTTCCACTTCCTAGTCAGCTGCAATGGCCAAAGCAGAGCAGATCCAAAACCAGGAGCCAGAGCCACCCGTGGTTACCTTTGTGGGTGCAGGGTTCCAAGGAGTTGGGCCATCTTCTACTGCCTTCCCAAACCACAGCAGAGAGCCACATCGGAAGTGCAGCATTCGGGACTCAAACCGGCGCCTAGATGGGATGCACGATGTGGGTGGTGGCTATACCCACTACCCCACAATGCCAGGTGCTCCGGAAGTCGTTGCCCATGGGATGCTGCTGTCTGCTAACATTCCTGGGAAAGCAGAGGGAGAAGGCCCAAGGTCTTAGGACCCTGAACCCAGAGTGGAGCACTGGATAAAGTCCCTGGCTTCTGCCTTGGCCTGGCCGAGCCCCGGGATTTGTAGCCACCTAGGGGGTGAACCCCCAGATGGATGATCACTCAGAGTGAGAAAGAGTACTCGCGATGCTGCTTGCACTGCTGCTCTCCCCAAGCAGTGGCAAGGGCCAGCGCTGGTCCAGGAAGAAGCCAGGAGGCAGGAGCTCCATTCAGGACTCCCACTTGACAGGGTGGCTGGGTCCAGAGTGCCTGGGCCATCAGTGGCTGCCTCCCTGGGTCACAGCCTGGAGAGGCAGGAATGGAAGTGGCCCTGAGGCATCAGGGTGTAGCTGCGTCCCCTGGTGCCCTGTCAGTCACCAGTGAGGAGTGCGCCTGTGCCCAGCGCTGTGACCTGGAAGTGCACCCACAGGCGCATCTGTTTCTTCTGCACGGTGCCCCAGCCCAGAGCTTGTGTAAGCCCTGAGTTACTGATTTCAATGCTGGTGGCCAAGCCTGAGGAGACCCAGTGCCCCCCAGGGTCAGGCCGGGATCAGCTGAGGCTGTGGTGAGGCAGCCGCTCAATTATCTTGTGCTTCTGGAACTTTCTAGGCGCAGTCCTCTTCTTTGGCCCCTCTGAAAGACTGCACCTCAGGACCGGGTCCCTGTGTCAGGAACAGAAAGGTTCTTTCTGTGGAGAGTTTGGCACGGTGGCCTTCCTGTCACTGGGTAGGCGGGGCCTGGGGGACAGTGAGTGGGGAGGGTGTGTGTGAGGGGTAGCTGAGATAGAAGGTGGAAGAGAGTGGGGGTTAAGGGGAGGCTGGAGGAGAGAGGAAGGGGGGAGAATGAAAAGGTGGTGTGAAGGTGGGGAGGCAAGGAAGGGAGGGCAGAAACGCACGTTGGGGAGAAGAAAGGGAGGGGGAGAGTGCCAGGAGTTCTGGCGGGCATGTGTGGTGCAGGGAATTGGGAGAGGTAGAATTTTTCCCACGGGCCCAATTCTGTCTTGGGGGTTTTCTGTCCCTGGCCGGAAGTAGCCTTTGCCACGTCCTTGAGAGGACTTGACTCACGGCCTCTCTTCTCCAGGTAGTTCAGAAGTGTAAGGTGAGTGTGCAGGAAAACGGGGGCATGGGGCACTCGAATTATTTGGCAGCTAATCCGGTGAATTTTCACAGGCTGCACACATGGAGGAGAAAGCAGAAGCTTAGAGAACCCCCAAGAATCCCTCTGTGCTCTGTTCCAGCCTGCCCCCAGATTCTGACACCTCATAGTAAGTACTAGATATTCTTTTCTATTTAAATATTGGTTTGAAAGGCAGAGTTCTAGATAGGTGGTGCAGGAGAGATCTTTGTGTATGGGTTCACCCCCAGGTGGCTACAATGTCCTCGGGCTGGGCTAGGCCAAAGCAGACACCATGTACTTTATCCAGTACTCCAGTGTGGGTTCAGGGGCCCAAGTCTTTGGGGTGCTTCCTCTGCTTTCCTAGGTGTTTGATCAGACAGTGGGATCACAAGTGGGAATAGCCTGGGGGTGGGGGAGTGGCAGACAGAACAGTGGCATAGTGGATGAAACTGCCGCCTGCAGTACCAGCATCCCATATGGGTGTCTTCCTTCTCTGTGATACTTTTCTCTCATTCGCCCCAGCAGAACTAAGTATCCAGAGCTTCTGTAACACACTGCCTATACATGTAAAGTGCTTACCCATTTTATCACCATTTATTTGCTAAATACCTGTATCCTGTATAAGACTGTGAGCTTGTCCAGGGCAGGACTTTGTCTCTCTGCTTTCATTCCTGTAGTCCCTGGTACACAGTTGGAATTCAGCTTATGCAGAATTAACAATGCACTCACTTTTGGATCTTGGGACAGGAAGTGTTGGTTATAGAAAGGGTCTGTTTACAGGAATAAAGGTAGGAGGGGACAAGAAAGGATGTTTAAGAGAATCAGCATTAATGAAGCACTTTTAGTTGTCAGGCTTCTTAATGCACCATTGTCTCATTTCTAAATAACAACACAAGGAGGGAAGCAAGAGTTTATTTAATTATGCCACATTGTCCTGTCTAATCCTCTTCAAAGCTCTGTGAGGAGGCACCACTGATACTCTTTTAAATATGAGTTAAAGGAAGTGGGAACCAGCCCTAGGCCATATATCGAGGTCAATGAAGTTCCAGTTTAAATCCTGCTGTGCTTGCCCCAGAGCTGTGTCCCTCCTGGGGTTGGAACTTCAGCTTCCATCGGTTCCAGAGTTGGGGTATCAGAGAGGTGGTAGCTGGTAAAAACCAGTGGTCCTAGTGTTTGGGGCTTGTCTGTGTGTGGAGCATAACTACAGGGACTTGAGCTGTGTCACTAAGAACCCTTCTTCTAATGCTGTGAGCCTCATGCAGTGATTGTTAATACAGGTCTTGTGTCCTGATTCACACCAGTGGGGAGTCTTGAGCTGTTGGGGGAGTCTGAGGAGGATACCTGGCCACCCTGGGACTGGAACTGACTTTTAAGAGGGACCCTGAGGTATGAAAGGAGATTTGCTGGTAAGGGTTAGGACCAGAGGATTTGAGGAGTCCTCAAGGTCCCTGGTGATTAGACTTTTTAAATTTATTTATTATTTAGTTCAAAGGAAGAAAGAAATATTTCATGCGTTAGTTTACTTCCCTAATGCCCACAGAGCTGGAAAGGTATGTAAAGCCAGGATCTGGGAACTCAATCCAAGTCTCCATGTGAGTGGCTTGGATGTAAGTACTTGAGCCATCACCTGCTGCCTCCCAGGTTGGAGTAGTATGAAGCTGGATCAGGACTTCAGCCAGGACTTGATCCTGGGCACTCTAACATGGGCTGTGGGGATTGCAGTAGAGGCTTAGTCGCTATACCATTAGTCTTCAGTTCCTTCCTTCAAAGTGTGGCTGGCTACTTGGGAGGGGTTTACCTCACCACTGCTACCTGGGCCTGCTGCACAATTTTGTGAGCACCTTGTTCCTAAGGCAGCGGTAAAATGCCACTAAAGATACTAAAACATAAAGCTCTTTCCTTTCTTCCATGTATCCCCTTGGCTCAGACTCATGTTCTTTTGACTTGCTTACAAAACACAAGTTCAAAGATAAAATTTTGAGGCTTTTTAAGACACAACCAGCGGAGGTTTAAACCCAGTGCAGGCCCTTCTGAGTGCCAGCCCTGTGTGACTGTTCCAATGTGACTGTGTAGGCTGCACGCCCATGAGGTTAGCCCTGGCTGCTGAGTATAACCATTGGCTTTAACTAGTCTGGGTCTAATCATATGACACTCCAGGGAACCTGGACAGACTTGATGTCTTATTAAGTCAGCTCCCTGAGGATTGTGTGGACTAGCTAGTGATACTGTCTATGATCCAGCTCCTCGTTTTCTTAGCAACCTCTTCTCCAGCTAGGGCTGGTATCTTTTTCCAGTGTAAGACTCCTCATCCCTGGCCTTGAGCACTGAGAGGAACTGGAATGCTGCTGTGTGGCAGAGACCTCCTGCAGATTCTCTGAGCATTCTGAGTCCCCACGACTCCGCTTAGTGTTTCTATGGTACCACACTGTCAGAACTGTGTTCGCAAATGAGGCAGGGGACAGTCTGTCCCTGCTATATTCCTGTTCTGAGCCTGGCAATCAAGGTCCACACAAGGCTGATGATAGAAATGTTGCATCCAGGCTGGTGCCGTGGCTCACTTGGCTAATCCTCCGCCTGCGGCGCTGGCACCCCGGGTTCTAGTCCCGGTTGGGGTGCTGGATTCTGTCCTGGTTGCTGCTCTTCCAGTGGATGGCCCAGGTGTTTGGGCCCCTGCACCTGCATGGGAGACCAGGAGGAAGCACCTGGCTCCTGACTTCGGATCGGCGCAGCATGCTGGCCATAACGTCCATTTGGGAGGTGAACCTATGGAAAAGGAAGACCTTTCTCCCTCTAACTCTGCCTCTCAAAAAAAAAAAAAAAGAAATGTTGCATCCAGAACAGCCCCCTTATAACTAAGATCACCTCAAGAGCCCCACAAATGGATCTTGGACCAGAATTCAGGACTTTATGTGCAACTTGAACACTTCCTTGGGAAGTTCACTGCCCCCACCCCCAGGACATGTTCTTAGCTGCTTGGTCCTAGGTGTAGAGGCTATGGCCTCTGGAAATGTTGTACTGAGTTGACTTCTGAGTGTCCAGATGCCAGAAAACATGTAACGGAGTTCCTCGGATCTGTGTGACCACTTGGATATCCAACTGTGATTGCAGACACCCATGGTGGACTTTTGAGTGCCGCCTCACGTTGGAGCTGAGTGCTTCCTGCTGGGACCGCGTGATCTTCCTGGGATGCCAGGGTGGCACAGCAACCCATGGTGCTCTGGATGCTCTTGCTGAATCTGTGTGTAGCTTAGAAGGTAAAACTGTGTTTTCACTAGGTTGGAGCAGAGTCTCAGAAGGACAAGGAGATGGTCCTATAAGATATTGATGCTGGGGCCGGCGCTGTGGCACAGCAGGTTAAAGTCTTGGCCTGCAGTACTGGCATCCCATATGGGTGCTGCTTCATGTCCCAGCTGCTCCACTTCTGAGCCAGCTCTCTGCTAAGCCTTGGGGAAGCAGTAGAAGATGGCCTGAGTCCTTGGGGCTCTGCACCTGTGTGAGAGACCCAGAAGAAGATTCTAGCTCCTGGCTTTGGATCAGCTCAGCACTGGCCATTGCAGTCATGGGGAGTGAACCAGCTGTTGAGGACCTCTCTCTCTCTTTGTCTCTCTCTGGCTCTACCTCTCTCTCTAACTTTTTCAAAAAAATAAATCTTTAAAAAAAACTTAATGATAATGTGTGCATTTGATCTAACTTGGAAAGGAAATTTCATTCCTCTGCTTCAAGTCAGCTTGCAATTCAGGAAGGGCAGCATTTTTGTGAATTTAGAGAATCTTTAGGCTTCTTGCTTCTTCTCTGCTAGCCTCTCCCTTGTAAATTATCATGTAGCATCATTCTTTGCTCTGGTAGGATCCATATTTTTTAAATTTATTTGACAGATAGAGTTAGACAGGGAAAGAGAGAGAGAAGAGAAAGATCTTCCTTCCATTGCTTCACCCCCCAAATGGCCACCATGGCCTGAGCTATGCCAGTCCAAAGCCAGGAACCAGGTGCTTCCTCCAGGTCTCCCACGTGGGTGCAGGTGCCCAAGGACTTGGGCCATCCTCCACTGCCTTCCCGGGCCACAGCAGAGAGCTGGAACCAAAGAGGAGCAGCGGGTCTAGAGCCTGGTGCCCATTTGGGATGCTGGTGCTGCAGGTGGAGAATCAGCCAAGTGAGCCACGGCACCGGCCCCCGGATTCACTTTTTTTTTTTTGACAGGCAGAATGACTGTGAGAGAGAGAGACAGAAAGAAAGGTCTTCCTTTTGCCGTTGGTTCACCCTCCAATGGCCGGTGCGCTGCAGCCGGCACACCGCACTGATCCGAAGCCAGGAGCCAGGTGCTTTCCTGGTCTCCCATGGGGTACAGGGCCCAAGGACTTGGCCCATCCTCCACTGCACTCCCGGGCCACAGCAGAGAGCTGGCCTGGGAGAGGGGCAACTGGGACAGAATCCAGTGCCCCGACGGGACTAGAACCCGGTGTGCCGGCATCACAAGGCAGAGGATTAGCCTAGTGAGCCGTGGCGCCGGCCTGGATTCATTTTTAAAACCGTCTTTTTTCTCTTCTGTATGAGAATACTTCAGAAAGTTAATGGAAAAAGGAATGAAAAGATAACTTTATTTTGGTGTAAAATTTTTTAAACCCACGCACATTTTTTTAACATTTTCTCTGTAATGTTTGGAGATCCCTCGTTTATGATAACAAGTCTTGGCAAATTTTGTCATTGTCTTGTTCTTTAGTTATTAGGAATAAATTATTTTGTTAGGATGAACTTAGCCTATTTGAATTAGTGTTGGATCTCATTTGCTGTGAAATAAAGAATTACTTTATGGATAATGAAAGCAATTTAATGATGTGGTGTAAAGGAGCAAACAATATTACTCAGTCTATTAACATCAGGAGACTTCTCTCTGACCTCTTAACAGTGCCCTGCAAACTGTATATTATTGCACTCTTGAGGCAGGGGCTGAAGTCTGGCCTGAAGGTATTTTAGAGAATGCTCCAGGTGGAAAAGTCATAAAAAAGGCAGAGAAATATTCGTAGCAATAAATGCGAAGGCAGAAGAGACTTCTAGAATTGAAGTGACCACAAGGATTGCTGGGATTTTTTGAGCAGTACAGACTAGGTTGTCTGTACTGGGCTCCCGATACAATCACTACAGCCTTGTGAAATTAAAAACTCTATGAAGTTCTACAGAATGGTGTTTGAGACTCACTAATAGGATTCAACCTACAAGGAATGCAGATGAGACAGAGCATCTCTGACCTTAACAGTGGCGGTCTTTACTTTCGCTTTATATTGCTATAGCAACTTTAAAATGCCTTCTGTTTAAAACCTGAGGAAATGTATGTGAAAAGTCTTTTTGGCAATCTTTTGTTATCAGTAAATTCACCATCTTAAGTTTGTTATAACTTACTGAACCTGTGATACTAGGAACTTGATAGAACTTTGCAGCACTGGACTGCAATTTGCAGCTTGCTCAAAACTGAGGGAGTTGGAGCTTACCCAGCATAATTAGAAGTGTACCCTCTATTTGAAGCCTTGGCAAGAACCATAATTTAGGATTGTGGCTGTGTGGCACTGGTAGAACATGTTGTTCAGTCCTGAGTTTGGACCTTGTTTGTATATGACAGAAAAACAGCTTTCAGAAACTTCCTGGTGGATAAAGTATCCTTTTCACAGTCTGGTGGTTTCACTGCTTTTTTTCTAAATGTTTCCTTTTCTCTTCAAGTGCAAGCATGTTCATTTTATCAAAGCAGGCATTTTCTCTTCTTTAAAAATAAATCTTGAGTATTCTGAAGAAATTTTCCAAACCGCTATGGTATATAAATGCATGTTGTGTGAGCATAATTACAAGGATGGAATGCTTTGCTTTTGAGTAGCAATGGACCAACACTCTTGGTGTGCTAAGAAACAGTTTTATTCTATTTTGTGTTGAAAGCGTTGAACACTACTGCTCCTGATAATCTTAGTCCTTTTTGTCAAATGGATTTAGAGCCCACAGCACCTTTTTATCCACCTTCTCTCTGAAAGCAGTGGGAATAGAGCAAATTTTTAGATTCATTATTTATTTGTG